CTTTTTGTTCAAGTAAAGATTCGTCTGCAGTAAACGGATGTAAGGTTCGAAGCCTACGGCACGCTCCCACCATCCGATTAGTAGGATCGGGAACCGTGTGTGTTGTGTATGGGGTGTGAAAGTTGTATAAGAGAAGGGCGGAAGGAAAATACAGAATGAGTGTACGAAATGTTGAGTTGTAAGCGTGTAAATGTGAAAGGGAAGATAGCGTAAGCTGAGCGTCTGTGTGGACGTGTTTGGGAGAAAAATGCAAGATCATAGTTATTATTCTTCCCCTCGGTTCGAGCATCCGCCTACTGGAAGCGGAGTGGTATGGCAAGAGTAGTGGTCTGTTCTAGAATATCAGTTTAATATACTCTGATTCATCTATCCTTTTTACAGCTTTTCAGGAGTTACGAGATATCAGAGTAACCAGCAATGTGCTGGTTAGGAGACCCGAGTCAGAGAAAGTTTTAAGCATTCAGCCTTGGTCAGAACCAGAACTTAGAAGTGGTAAATATCATTTGTTTTTCTGGATGGGACTGAGTGAAAGCTCAACGATGGTATGATGTTTATTTAACGAGCAAAATGCACTCCTAGGAAGTTCTACAGGTAATTAATTAACGGAAAATTATTGCAGATGCGTGGATCACCAATACATTGCAGTGGGGGTGATGCATCCCCGCTGTGCATGACCCAATCATAAACATATATTCATGCATAACTTGGCATCCCAACTCCGTAAGTGTTTTTATCTTCAACCTTAAATGGAGATTAGATAAGAGAGAAAGAAAAAAAAATGGTGCTGACAAACTCTTGATGAAAACACTTGTGTTGATACAAAGAAATGAAGTGTAAGAAATAGTTTAGAAACGAAGGCCAAGTAAAAGGGAAAGTAACATCAAAGGAGCATAGAACACGAAGACAAGGTCAGGCAGGAATCAACCGAAGCAACACATTAAGAAAAAAGGTCCTAAAAGTATTAAGGGCGAGACTGTAAAAGACTTTTCTCCCAGGAGGTACGGATCCTCAAGCTGAAAGCAGTATTCTTTCTATGCACATTGGTCTTTTATGCTCTCTGACACTTTGGCTCACTCAGTACAGCTTTGGGACTTCAGCAAAGAGAGTGCACCCTGCAGATGATAAGGCAGCAGGTCACACACAAAAGTCCAAAAAAGACCAGGTATCTCCTATACACAATCATAAATAAACACTTAACTTTGGGGAGACACGAATTCATTTCCCTCCCCAAAGTCATGGGTACTTATACCCCCAGAGAGACCCCCGGACATGGCGCGAAAAGAAAATACGCTAAGTACCGGAAGACCAGCGGGATAGTTCAACAAGTTAAAAAACCCAACCAACCATGAAAAGAGAGAGAAAAAAAATGACGACCATTATTCCCTTCAGGGTTTATTATGACACTTTGGGAGCGTCGGCGAAGAGAAAGAATAACAGAAAAAGATAAATAAGGCAAAGGGTGCTGAGGAAAACTGATAAAACACAGTCTAAGTCAAAACTGTGCATTTCGGATTGTACATATTTACAATAATCGACTTTGAAAATATACATTTTCTTTTTCTTTTTCTTGGCGACTTCAGTGATATCCAAGTATTAAGACTTGATTTTAAAAAACGCCCTGTGGTCATTAACATTCGTCGCGGTTTATGAAGGCGCAAACGAACCGGGAGGGTGAGGCGCAAATGGCGGGTGAAGCACCTGCCTCGTGCGGGTGCGCAGAGATGCGCGCCCGCTTCTTGAAAAAAAAGCCAATTTACTGGTTAGGTCGTGTGCGATAGTGTCCAAGAGGGTCTCCTATATATGTAACTACTGGTCAGGCACCAAGACCACAACCAGGGCGCAGGACTCTTCGGTGAAGCTACCACGCAGCTTTTGGGTAGAAGAGGCAGGCATGTGGCATGGTCGAGACCCGGCCTCAACCACGTGGCGCCCGAAGATGATGTCAGTCCTGGCGAAATGGGCCTTAGAGTCGTAGTCGTACACAGCTATCAGTATCGTTATTGTCATTATAATTATCAATATTACTTTTTATTATTATTACCGAAACGGTTACGTAAACAACCACTTCCATAGAGAACGATCATTGGTCAGCAACCCCAGACCCAGTCAACAACATGATGGCAACTTGGCGCCAAGTAGTTCCTCAAACACCGCATCGGTGATAGTACAAATATGATGATTAGCATTATTATTGTTGTTATCATTATTTTATCATCATTATTGTTGTTGTTGCTGCTGTTTTATTTGTTATGAATTACGATCATTATTATAATTTTGATGTTTTTATTATCATCAATATCATTATCATCGTTATCATTATTATCGTTATCGTTATTATTTTCATTAATATTCTTTAATTATTATTACCGTAATAATAATAATTATTATCGCTATTTTTTATTATTATCATTACTATCATCATCATCATCCCCGTCATAATCATCATCATTACTATTATTACTGTTGCTGATAGCTGTTAGACTGGTGATATCGTGTTATC